ATTCCGGTAAAAACGTCCTAGACTTTCGTCTTTCTATCTTTGCAATTGACAGTCAACATTTGCAAAGAAAAGTTGTGTTTCGATGAATCTTTAGTTTCATAATTGTTGAGCTTGGTGAAAAGATTCGAGGCTTGACCCCAACAGAAGAGGACAACGGATTCCTCTTGACCAACTGTCGATTGGCTTTACTGGGACATTCATGTTGAGGCTGTTTCCGAGGCAATCTTATTCGATTCCGTTGAAAAAGTGCTAAGCTTTCGTGCGCCATGTGACGAACATCATCAAAGCAAATTCACTCTAACGAATCAGAAAAACTTGGTTCAATTTGGTTGTGACGATGACAACTTGCTTTGATGATTTTCGTCACATGACCCTCGAAAGCTTAGCACCTTTTCACCGGAATCGAAGGAGATTTCCTCGGAAACAGTGTCAGCATGAATCTGCCAGTAAAGTTAATCGACAGCTGGTTGTCTTCTGGTCGAACCAACCTTCGAATCTCTTCATCAAACACTTTCACTCGAAATGGAAGTAAGCTCAACCATTGAATTAGGCTGATCGGACATTGAAGCAGACTTATTATTCGGCAGCTGTATCGTATCTTTGTCTACCTTTTCTATCCATTTTATCGGCAATTTCAGTAGAGCAGCATGTGAAGAACAGTTTGACTCTATGTTCTCAAGGGCTGCTCAAACTTTGGTCCAATAGTTGTTGCAAAAAAAGTAAAATTCCTGCTCTGATTTGGTGACAAGATGGGCAATCGCATGACAAAAGTGCCTAAAACCTGATAAAAATGTATCTTTTTTGCCGATTTACAAATGTGAAAGTATCTCTTTTATGGCTAACATCAACTTAGCTCCTATGCCTATGGGCACCCAGTATAAAAATAGTTTTGAAAAAGCACTAAACCACTCAGGAAAAGTTGCAGCATTCTTCAAAGAAGACTCGCAATTCTGCAAGCCGGAGAAAAGAGCCGCTGGATCAAATCGGACGAGTGAATGACCGTAAATCTTGATGCTTGAGAGAGGCGACATGGTAGGAGATATTCTTGAGCATTCGATCTGCTTTTTTCGCTTTACAAAGTTCAACTCCATTCGACTCAACTCGACAATTTCAGCTTCGTTGAAGCATAACCGTCGGCCCATGCCACCAACCTTTTGACATTTGAGAGGTTTTCCAGTTCATGAACTGGCCAAAGTAGGCTCGAATTGGTTGAGACCAGTTCATTCAGAAGGAATCGGCAAAATGTTCCAACATTACACGAAATTAAAATGCCGATTTTCAGAATGCGTCTTACTTTGTTGTAGAGTTCTATTTTGGAATTATTGTCCTGAGGCGGAATATCTTATTCGATCGTGGTGACGTTCCGTTACATTCAGATTAAAATGCATAATTCTAGGCTCTAGACAAGATTA